CCTTGGAGGTCTCTAGGTCCACTTTTCATTTTATTAAACTTAACACCAATTAAACTAAGTTTTAATAAAAACTGAAAACACACCTGCTCTGTACAAGTTAGACTTGAATCACCATCCATTACACTCTCGTAGTCGCTGCAAACAATATCATCCGCTACTATTTCACCCATATTATAAGCAGGGCTAATAACGTCTTCTGCTGTTTTGTTCACCATGATTCCTGTAAAAAATACACAAAACAAACCTACAAAATCCTTAAGTCAAAATCATGCATTAATTGCAATTTATTCTGACAATTGCTAGCTTGTGACTAGGTTTCTGGATCTGGTATTGTGGGGGTGTTTTGAAATTTGAGGTTAATATTTCCCTGACAAATACTGACAAATACCTTTTTGAACAGATACAAATAAGCTTTGGTCAGGGACTTGGAATGAAAACACGCAAAATTTGTAAAAAGTGCACAAAATTATACTACAAAACCTGAAAAAGGTCGATTGCTGTAAATTGAGACCAGCGTCCCAGCTACAGTAGTACTACTGTCATATCTCTGTGTGTGTGTTCTGGGATGAAAGTAGGAACAGGAAAAGGGAACACCGCACTATACTCGGTCTTACACAAAGAAGGTGAAGTGGGATAAGAACGAGTAAAAAAACTTACCTAGTCGACACAGTTAAGTTCGATGAGAACTCGCAGACAGCCGCACCTAGTCAAGAACTCCAGCACGAGGCAGGAGGATATCACCATATCACCGAAGTGAGCATGTGGAAGCACGCGTGCACGGGTATTCCCGCACCAGAGAAGCCCCCCCCCCCCTCTCCCACCACACGTCGATCGATGGATGAAGAAGTGCTCCAAAATCATCGCAAAAAATCGGACATTAGGGGATTTTTAGCGGATTTTAGCTGTTAACAGTCAAAATTATCCGCTACCGGTAGCTTGGGTCAAAATCCGCCAGATCTAGCAGATAATCCGCTAAATTGGCAACACTGCTGCCTTCCCCTCTACCCCCCCCTCCCTCCACCCTGTTTAGGAGGCGCTGGCGAATCTACGACGGAGCCAATTCGCGGGAAAATTGTGCAATTTCAAAGGTTTCAAAGGTGGCGTTCTTATGCAGTGTACTGAAACTGTCAGTATCTCAAAATCCGTATTTTAGATGGAAAGCGCCTTAGATTTTCAATTCCAGCCTTAGTCTGTTTTGGTTGTTTGGTTTAGTTAACCGTTTTACGTTTTACCTAACCTTTTTTAGTCACAACCCCTTAGATTACCGTCGACGAAGAGGTTGTGTTTTCCCGCGTAGTTTGCGTTGTGAGAAAAACATTTGAAACTGAACTGACAATCACTGTAAAGCAAAACATTACATTACAACATTCAAAACAAAATATATTTGATGTGTAAATTAGAAACAGAGTCATGAGTGAATACCGTGTTCACTGGCTTGTCCAAGAACTCATCACGGCTCTTGGGTGGGTATTTTAATGTAATTTACAATGTATTTCAAATAATAAATAAATCTTAACCTCCATAACATTTGTATTTTTCTGATGCTTTCGTTAAACTGTCTTTGTCTATTATTTTTTAATAATATTGTTTTCTTTCTTCTGCATTCTAGGGTCACATCATCAGCTGAGGAATTTGTGGAAAGTCTACATATTAATTCATCTGACACTGTGTCAGGAAGTGTTTTACAATCAAACTTGCGTCAAGTTTCCCAGAGAAGCCCAAACCCAGATGCATTTATATCAAAGTATGAAGAGCTGAAATCTAAGCAGTAAGTGTCTGATTAAAACAGAATTTTTTAAATGTATTTTTGTTATGTGTTCATAGCTCATTGTGCTTTCCAACTTGTATTTTTTATTTCAGAATTTCTTCACTTCCACATATTATTGCATTGCTCTACCAAATCACACAGGATAAGAAACTCAAGGATTATCTTTACCGTAAGGCTGTTAGTTCTGGAAGATCTGAGTCAGCGTCATCCCTGAGCACTCCAAAAGTTCTCAGTGATAGTAGAACAGTGTCGTCTCATGTGGATGGACAAAATCTTCCTGAGGTGAGTTTGATTCAATTGTAAATGAACTTGATTCTGTTCATTCTATTTCTTCCAAATATAAATGAAATGTTTTTTGTAGATTGTGACACGCGTGAAGAAAGCCGCCTCAGTTTCCAAAAGATCTTCTCAGAGATACAAGGATTTGGAAAGAAAAATTAGGCATCCTTCCTATCAGGCACCTGTGGTTCCTGATTGGGGTAAACTTCGCCCTCACATGGGCCTTGATTTTGGTATAGAAGTTTTGTCACCACGCCCCCTTCAAGATGTTCCTATGTATTCACAAGAAACTAAGCTCATGGAGGATTTACTGTATGTGCTGTCTGGGTTAGAGGGTGAATACATAGTTCCTCATCCACCCTTGGAACCTAATCAACTTCGCACATTTGCTGTGAGTGAGGGAGTAGATCCTTCACTGCGTCAACTGGTTGAAAAAATTCTGCCCTTGGCATCTTATTATTCCATCATAGTGCGCTTCATTGAGGAAAAGTCATCTTATCATCATGGCCAAGTAAATCAGTCATTGGCGGGTGCCATGAATCTGCTCATCCATGAATACAAGGTAGATAGAGGAACTACATTCAGTTCTACAGGATTTGATTTTTGATGCTCTAATGTTGACTTTATTCCAGGTATTTTTAGCTCAACTAGAAATGCATATAAGACATGAAAACGTGAATCTGCAGTCCATTCGGTTTTATTCTCAACCAACATTGCGCACCATGGAAATACTTGCTAACATTGCTATCACAATCAACAAGGTTTGTTATAGAAGTCATGACAATCACTTTAGATCTTAAATATTTTATATCATATTTGCTTGAATTTTAAATATCTAATTTATCTAATCTGATGTTTGTTTTATCTAATCCAGGCTGGAGCTCAAGGGGGTAAGGTGCTTAGCTTATTGCATGAGCAGACAGTTTCTGCCGGTGATCCCAAGGTGCGAAAACTCTGTATGCATTTAACTCAAGCTGCCAGTGTTCCTTACATGGAAATTTTACAAAAATGGATCTATATTGGAGTTATTCAAGACCCCTATGAGGAGGTAAATAACATATAAGACTCTTGTCTTTGGTATATTGTACTTCAACCATATGTGTTTTTCATGTATCACTTTATTTTATTTTCAGTTTCTTGTTGAAGATAATGAGCTTATTCAGAGAGAAGACCGTCCTGCCAATTATTCCGATGATTATTGGGCCAAGTGCTACATCATATGTCGTGATCGGGTTCCTATTTTCCTGGAAAAAATATCTGATGTCATCCTAAGGACTGGAAAGTACTTGAATGTTATCCGTCAGTGTGGTGAGTCATGTCAGTTAAAATTAATGGATGTGAAGAGATTTTATTTTGTATACTTACTTACACCATCTTTTGATTGGCTGTAGGAAGAAATGTCAAGTCTCCACAGTCTCAAGAACTTAAATACACTATAGCAGAGAGTGAATATGTTGAGGCTATTGAACAAGCATATTGCTTTGCTAGTCAGACACTTCTTGATTTATTAATAAAAGAGTATGATCTTATGGGGAGACTCAGGTAAGCCAACAAGTTTCTATGCTTTTAAAAATAATGATGCAAATAAATCAACAAATGAAATTTGTTTAAAAGTTTTACCATGCTTATTTCAGGTCAGTCAAACATTATTTTTTACATGATCAAGGTGACTTCATTGTACAGCTCATGGATATGTGTGAGGGAGAGTTATCCAAAAATATCAATGATATTGTTCCTCATCGGTTAGAATCTTTGTTGGAACTAGCATTGAGAACGTCAACAGCCAATTCTGATCCTTACAAAGATGATATGCGAGCTGAACTTTTACCTTTTGATCTTGTGCATCAAATGTTTAAAATTCATGGTATTCAAAATCAGGAGCTGTCAGGTATGCAAGGACATTCTTATCTACCTTTAGTCAACAATTTTTGGTTATCACACATTTTTTAATTATTTTGAAATGTTATATTTCAGAATCGTGCTCTCCAGATAAACTTACTGGGCTAGAATCATTTTCGTTTGGCTATGAAGTAAGGTGGCCAGTATCTTTGGTGCTTAATTACAATACGAAGGCCTGTTACCAAATGATCTTCAGACACTTGTTTTATTGTAAACATGTAGAGCGATTGTTATGCAGGTATTATCAATCTACCAATTTTTTTTTTTTTTTTTTGTTGTTTTATTGAAATTTAATTATGTCTCATTTTACTTAAATCTAATCTAATGTTTTTTTTATGTTTTACTTAGGGTGTGGCTTTCAAATAAAGTGTGCAAGATGTTTCCTGTATCATCATCGCAAAGCTATCGACCTGCATTTATTTTGAGACAACGTATGTTGAATTGTGTGCAGAATCTGCAGTATTACATGATGGTTGAAGTAATTGAACCCAACTGGCACAATTTTCTGGAAAAAATAAATAAGGTAAGTGCTCTACATTTAAGCTAGAAACATTCTCTAAGGAATTTGATAGTCTTTATCAAAGAGTTTTGCCCTTCTGGTAGTGTGATGTAAGAGGATTTAAACTAAAACACATAAGGAAAAAGTAAGCAAAGTTTTATTTACAAATCAATTAAAATCGTAATGATCAGGGGGCAGACGTGCCCTGTACAATTTTTGGTTAA